TGTGTGGCCTACCTGGGTCTATTGCTGGTTGACGAGGTGTGCCGCTGGTCCTTGACCCATTTGCCTTTGAGGCGGAGGAAGTCCCTGAGCTGCACGATTTTGGTAGTCAATCATCTCATCATTGACGATTTCCACCCTCATCATCTCAACCAGTTCGTCATAAGTGCCTGGACTCTTACCTCGGACGTCTCGAACAATGTGTTCATGTTGAGGCCTCCTTTCAGGGCTAAGAGGGCATCTCTATCTGTGACTTGTTCGCAGTATATGATTTCATCAGTGAATCTGGCGAGATAGCTTTTCAGCGTCTTGCGAGGAGCTTGCCTCATATCTTGTAGGCATTGCACTAGGGCTTCTCATTCCCTTCGTGAGAGGTACTGGTTCAGAAATGCCTTCTTTAAATTTGGCCAACTTTTGATGCTTAAAAGCGGTAATCTGTTGTACCACACCTCAGCAGCTCCAGTAAGGGTTAGGTGGAAGGCCCTGCATTTCAGTGCCGGTAAAGCTCCTCTGAAGCTCATCTGCGTCATGTACTTAGTGAGGTGTTTATGTGGGTCTTCCTTTCCTTTATACTTAGGGATTTTAGGGGATATGAAGTTCGCGGGCATTAGGAAGTTTCGAATTTCTCTGGAGAAAGGGAGGTTGTCATCATCGTCATCAATTTCGTAAGAGCGACATGTCCCTTCAGAGCTTTCCCCCTCTGATGCATTTTAGGGGGGTGGAGGTACCCCTCCCCGACTATCCCAATCCATTAGGTTTCTCATATCCCGCCTATTTCTAGGTGGAGGGGGTGCCTCCTATTCTTCTTCTTACTCCTGCACATGTTGAGCCGACCTTTGTATGGAGCGGACCCTATTGCTAGGATTTTGCTCTATCCGATCGAAGACACTAACCAACTTCTGAGGTTCGTATTCTGGTGGAAAGTTTTTTCCCAGCCGTGGTTCCGCTGTGTAAGTACCTTGGGCATAGGAAGTGACATCCACTCCCACTTCTCTCTCAATGGAGGGTTCCTTGTGGTGGTTTGAATGACCCAGGGCATGTGATGCTGGGTTCTGCCCTTGAGCCGGGTGCAACCCTTGTGGTGTTGAAAAGCCATGCTGACCTTGGGCTTGCATGGAGAATTCACGCATAACCAGATTCTGGGTTGCAATGTCTCTCATGCCTGCAACTATTTGAGCCATCCTTTCAGTGAGTGACGTTGTCCTGTTACCTTGGTGACGCCGGTGATGGGATCTCCGATGTGTGACATTGGTGCAGAGCACTTCTTCTTCAGAGGCATCCCTATACCCTTCAAGATTTGCGTTCTCATTACTATAGCTCATTTTCCCACTCCTTTTTTTTCAAGGGTGTTAGGAACTTAAGACTGTAAGTTGGCTTGGTTCTTTTTCAAGAATGTCCCCTTTTCAGGGTAAGTCGATAGTCTTCTGGTGGCTTTTTTTCGATGGTTAATGGGGAATTCTTTGGTTGGAATTTTTCCAAGGACGACGCCAATTTGTTGACCTCACGAATTGGACCTCCACATGGCCAATCAGGAGCCACTTCACATATTCCTCCCTGCATACAATAACGCATGGTGAGGAGCACACGGTCAAAACCAACGGGGGCAGCGACGGCCACATACACTCCAACGGTCAAGTCAATGGTCGATGATCAGAATGATGTCGAAATTGTGCATGAGAGTGGGGAGAAGAATATATAATGCTTGAATGTGGAGAGCTTAGTTTAGTGGAGAGCTTAGTTTAGTATCAGTTTCATTACCTTTGCCTCTTGCCAAACCTTAAGTATTTATAGACGATGAGCACTGTTGGATGTGGAACACGTGTATGCATCTGACGGTGTGAGACGTCTGCTCATAGGCGTCAATCAACTGCGTCAGGAATGGACGAGTTATTAATTTTTCTGAGTTGAGTTGACATAAAGTTGATGTCACATTACCTAAACCCATAAAAATGTCACATTCATAGAGGATCCTGACATAGATATACTTCTGAAACTGGCGGGGAAGGTATCTGTTGAGGAGCACCTCGGATAGCCAAGCGCTTCGGTTATAGGTAAGATAATTTTCAGCAACAAAGTGCAAGGATATTTTATAAAGGTGACAGACCCTAAACTAAAAGTGATTAAATATAACCAAAAACCTTTGGTGGCAAATGTATTGGATATACAATTATAGAAATCCCTTTATGAACTGTAACAAGCAAAGAAAATGATATGTAAAATTTACAATATTGTTGTGAATAGTTGGAGTGATTATAAGATCTTTAAATGTAACATATCTCTTTGTTCTAAAATCACTCGACGTGGTTGTATCATTGATTGGTCTTACATCGTTTGAAATATGTTTATGGTAGCATTCTTTGAATATCAACTAGTGTATGTTAGTCCAAAAATATGAAATGGACTAAATTGGTGTTACATTGAAACAATTGAGGGCCTAATATTGCCTTACATAATTAAATTGAGAACTCGGGTAGATCCAACTTTTATGTTTGGCTAACATGTGGTAAATCAACATCGCAACTGGCATATTCCTGTGTATTATAAATTGTATAAATGAATAATCATTGGAAGGTTATAAAGTAATAGGATGTTAGTAGAATATGCAAATGTTGAACTACACCACAATGGTAGGTACAATAATGAAGAATTGAATTTATAGTACCCATGATTTAAAATAAATTATTAAATGAGTAATTATATTACCACAACAAAATTTAATTACTACACCACATTATAATCAAACCACAATTAAAATATATTTCAATAAATACACCCCCAACAACTTTACAACTATACTCCTAATCCAACAACAACAAAAAATAATAGTAATAAAAAATACAATATTATGGCTTGCTCATCATCTCAATATCAAATTATAAAACATCAAAAGTATGAACACGATTATATTGATAAATAGACCTACAGAAAATTGCTTTAATAAGGTAAAAGTCTACATCTTTTTGCAACACCATTTTTCGCTCTCGAATTGAGCCTCTGCAACTTGTGGATAGTCTATTAGGGTCCATTCTCCTACTACTTTCTCTCTACTGTTTTGCTTCAAGTTCTTCATTAAAAAAAATAAAAAATAAAATTGAGGTTCGTCATAGGCCCTATTTTTTCTTCTAGTTTTGCTTCAAATTCTACCTCTCATTTAAGAAATCTCAAATGAAGACATGGATCACCACAAGAGTAAAGGCCACATTCTTGGTTCAGGTACGTATGCTACCATATATTCCGCGTCAAAGCTTGATTCTCATCTTTCCCATTCCGTGGCCACTGTGAAGTCTAACAATTACAATTGCACTTCACTGAAGAAGATATAGGTATTGAAAACAATAGACAAGTCTACAATATTCTCCATAAATATGCACACGAGGGATCCCCTACTGATCTGATAAAAAAGAATGGAGGAAAAATCCCAGAAAGGGTCTCTCCTACGTTTATGAGATTGGGTCAACAAAGTCATTCAAGCCTTTGATCCTGTAGAGAAGGAAGATTTCATGTATAATTGTGGCGGAATAATAAATTGTTTTATGTACTAAATATATTAAAACCCATTTATGTAATTATAGTTAAGACTATTTAAGTATATAAAAAAATATTTAAAATTTGTGGTGTAAGTAATAAAATTTGTAGTGGTAATATAATTATCCTTAGTAAATATGTAATACTATGACCAACATAGTTGTGTTAGAGATTCTCAAAGCAAGTTGTACATTGGAAGATCAAATTAGAGCTAGAGAAAAGCATGTGGCTTCAAATATTAATGGAAGAATTCCTTAATTGGTGACTGTTTTGTCTATTATATGAATTAATTGTAATATCTAACTACATTTAATAAGACACATAATCTATTATAATATGGTTAGTCTTGAAATTTACGTAAAAGATATAATACTAACAAACAATTGATCTTAGATGGTGTAATTTCGTGGATCAACGAAGAAAAAGTTTATCAAGAAATCAAGTATACAACATATTGAGGGGAATGAGCTTATAGTAATGTAGGATTTTCGTAATTGTCACCCATCCTTTCTGATTGAAGATCTCAAAATCTCAATTCAATGAAATAACTAACTTATGAAGACTCATTGAACAATTGTAAATTATGAAGACTCATTGAACAATTGTAAATTAACTCCTATTCATTCCAATAAGAAAAAGCTATTTGCAGAGTATTTTACGATACATTAAACTTTTAATGAAACATATAGCTTGAATAAGCCGAGTGGGTATAACATGTACTCTTAATAAGAGATCACTTATGCAAATATGAAGTGAGACCGCTTCTATAAAATTGTTCTAAGATTTTGAATTCTCTAAATCACTTATAAAATCCAAGAGTTATACATTGTTAAAATGAACACAACCATTAGAACTTGGAAATTACCAAGAAGGTTATTGTATGGGTTACAATTGTGGTTGAGCAATTCAAGATATTGAGTTCATTGATTAACCAAGTAAATCCGATAGTATTCTACAAAAAGAGTTTAAAATCCACTATGTACTTATATCGATGCAACAACTTCTACTTGGAGTCTCTTTAGTGTCTACATTATCTTTTGCTTTAATTTTCATTTGTGGGAGTTGTTGAGAATGGGTTCAACATATTGATTTTGACCCATTTTAACCAACTGGTTACGCCATAGCAGATGTCGATATCGAGAATTCAAGGCTGAACTTATTACTCCACAATTTCATTATAAAAGTAGTTTCTCGAACTAAATTCGAGGTGAATGATAAACTAGACAATAATTGAGACGCTTGTGAAAATTGTATTGGCTTGATGGAATTTTCTTTTAATCCAAGTGTGATACATGATAGAATATTAAAGGATATGTTTGACCGAAATGTGTGTTTTTTTTTGAATGAAAAATTATGACTTTTTGACTTGTAATTTTTAAAAAGTTGGGAACCTCAAAAATAAATTTAAATGTTAGTATATTTTCAATTAGGAATCTAGAATAGAGATTTCTTCATGTATTAAGATTTTAATCCTTCTTTGTNCATCTTCCAGATATTCCAGAACCTTCAGAGTGCAAAATAAACACAGAAGTATTCACTGGAATTAATCGGATTCTGCAGGAACAGAGAGAGTTTTAGAGAGAGAAAGGAGAGACGATGTCGTACTTGCTACCCCATCTCCACTCTGGATGGGCGGTGGATCAGGCAATCCTCGCTGAAGAAGAACGCCTCGTCATTATCCGATTTGGGCACGACTGGGACGATACCTGCATGCAGGTAAAATATCTCATTATTCAATTCTTCCTAAAGAATTACTTATCAATCAGTCTTATTTACTGGCTGATACTATTTTTCTAAATTTGAATTTTATTTAAACTAATTTTATTTTATTTATGTTTTTCTTTTTGCTGTGGTTCAATTTACTCACTGTCTGTTTGGTTCTTCATTGTATTTTTAGCTGAACGTGTAGATTACTCTATATAGTATTCAGTTAGGGTAACAGTCTAACGGATTGTTGTCACAATTACATGGAATACATAGAATTTCTGTTTTATTTTGGTTTTTTTTTTTTTGTTGACTTCTAATTTTAACTTGTCATTTGATCGGATGTGTTAGTTATGATTATTGAGGTAATGTGCAAATCATATTTATGCGTTTATATTATGCGATTACTAGGAAGATGTGAACTTTACTATCAAAAGCATGTTAGAATCACTTTAAGCAGTCTGAATAAATTTGGTTTTCGTAGTGTTGAAGATGAAGAATTTACTTTTCCCTGGATATCTTGTTTTGTCTTTGAGCATGTTTGGCGAAGACTAAATAAAGTGAAGTTCTGTAACGAAACTTCTAAGATTAGCCAAACATGTTATTTATCTTATTAGCAAGCTTCAGTTACTGTTTATATTGATCTAGTCTGATTAAATAGTATTTCGTTGAATGTTTAACTGTTTAGCGAATCAGTGGGACAACAAACTATGCCATGATTTCTTTTCTTTTACTGTATTTGGTTCATTGCAAGATTAGAATATCTAAAACATTTTAAGCTATGAAGGCAGTGATGGCGATGGGGCGGGGCGGGGCGGGGACGGGGCAACTTTTTGCCCCCTTTTAGTTTTATTTATTTATTTTTTTTTTTGCATTTTCAAAGTTTCGAATTATGTTATTATTAGAGAATAAAATGTAAATTCAAAATGGGTTTTTAACGGGTGAATTGTCTAGAAATAAAAATATTTTTAATTTTAATTTTAATTTTTTTCTTCATAGGGCGGGTTTTTTTGCCTCGTTCGGGGCAGGACGGGTTTTTTTTCCATTCCTATATGAAGGTTTAGGCTTCTCTTCCCTCTTTTGATACATTTTATCAAGATTACGCATCATTCTTACAAATGGGGTCTTTTTTAAGGTCTACACTAAATATGTCCAATCACATGGGCCGTTTTTCTTTGATTTATCTCAATTGACTCTACATCTAGTTACTGATGTATTTCGCTTATGATTTTATTCATTTTAGTATGACTGCACCTGTTGTAGCATTTTTATTTCTACTATGTTCACCATGGACATGTCTTCTTTAATAACCTAAATCTTGATAATTACTTAGAATGTTGAACACCTGATCCGAAAATATTCAAATTATATTCAAAGTTTAGCAGTTCAATGAAGTCTGAGGGTCAATGTTTTGTATTACTTATGAGCATCCCTGTTTGCGTGCTACTGTAGAATCGCCATTGGCGTTGTTAATTCATGTAGCATCTAAACATTCAAGTTTATTCCTATAATTTGCTATATGTTTTATAATTTTCTAGATTATTTCTTGCCGACATGCCAAGAGATTTCTGGAGATTGTTAGCTTGCTCTGCCACCACCATTATGAACAAATTTAGAAGTAGCAAAGCCAGTAATTCCACTGACTTACCACCCTTTTAAACATAGCATCACCCCTTGTAATACATGTATGAGTAAATAAATAGTGCACATGAGGTGGTGGTGTAGTTCTTTGAGCTCTATGAGGTGTGTCAGTGTTTGAAATACACAATTCAATTGTGTAGATATCTTTAAGTGATGTTAGTGTGTAGCATATATCATAATTATAAATTTGTTAAAGTTTTCTTTGAGGAAAATAGAAGACAATTTTATTTGTCTATTGTTCATCAATTTGGTATCGATATTAGTGCATAGATGGGGAGAGATTTTGAGGAATAAGCAGCAATTGTGAGTGTGTCTCACAAGTGTCCATTCGAGTGGGTATCGAATTAGGGTGAGAACTTCAAGTGTCTCATATCAAATCAAACGGTATATGTGGTCTTTATTTATAAAATAGTCTTCATTCGTGTTTAAAATCTTCATTTACTTATTTATTTGCTAAAGAGAATACTTGTAAGAAAGAGTACTATCTGAAAAATCAACTGAATCCAGCAAACTGTTTAAAGTGTTTACTGATTAGCCTTTTGGTTTGTTTCTGAATATGAAGAAACCTTTTTGCCTTAAGATTTAATGTTCTGGCTTCGAAATCCTTGTAGTTTCAAGGGTGGTTTTCACAACCGTATCTGAACTGAGATTGAACTACTTGCATCTAATGTTTCCTTTGGGCCTCACACTTGAAAATTAAGAAACAGTTCCTTTTCAAATTGAGTTAATCTTTTCCAAGTTTTATTTCCAACTCCATATGACCGATGTATTTTTGGAGTTCATACATAGTTTTCTTGATGATAGAAGAGGCAACTTCGTGCTATGGTGGTGTTGATGATCACTTTTTTCTCTGAACTTTGTATTCTGAAAGTTCTAATATTGTGCAGAGTCATCCATCTTCTCCCTACGGGCAGGGAGGAACGAAAGAGAACCACAAAAATGAGGGAAGTAGATAGCAAATAAAGGAGCATAAAAATCGTGTACTTGGACATTTTTTCAATTGCCTGTTGTTTCACTTGATTGGAATATAATTTTTTTGATAGCTTGAATATTTCTCTCATCATGTTTTATTTAACATATGAGTTGGACCTCTCTGATGTGTTTGGTATGCTGGAAACTACAGTATTTAACAAGATTAAGGAAGGAAAGAAAGTTAAAAGTCCTGAGTGTGATCATATGCTATTTTTTCTACCAAAAATGCTCCTTGTGTATTCTTTCTGATGTCGTTTTTGCTCCCCTAGATGGATGAGGTGCTGGCTTCTGTTGCTGAAACAATAAAGAATTTTGCTGTGATTTACTTGGTGGATATAACTGAGGTGCCTGATTTCAACACAATGTACGAGCTGTACGATCCGTCGACTGTCATGTTCTTTTTCAGGAACAAACACATCATGATTGACCTTGGCACTGGGAACAACAACAAAATTAACTGGGCTCTCAAGGATAAACAGGAGTTCATTGACATAGTCGAGACTGTCTACCGTGGTGCCAGGAAGGGCCGAGGATTAGTTATTGCCCCGAAAGATTACTCCACCAAGTATAGATACTAAGTACTTGAATTGGTGTGTGTGATTTCATCATGTGATTTAGGCTACCTTGGCAGCTCATAGGTTATTGCTGCAAAATTCTGTGTACCAAATATCGATACAATGATATCTGAGTAATGATTCGTGGGCAGACAATTCAATTGAGTCCTTTGAACCATCGGAGTACAAAGATTCTCCCGTGTTTTAGTTGTTGTCATGTCTCACTGCATTCCCAATTTGATAGTTGAATTTCAATTGGACGCATTGAAAATACCAATATAAATTTTTAGACAAATCAAAAGGGAGAGCCCTTGTTAAGTCGGAAAATGAGTTTTTCCCTCTTAAGTCGCCCCTCGGTTGTACCCACGTCCAAGCAAGAGAAATGGGGTCACCAAACCTAGATTTTCACAGGGTCTGCCTGCTTTATTCATGCAGTGCAGATTGCTTGTATTTAAAATTGTACAACTAAAATCTGCAGATTAAGATAAAATTCTTTGCTCGGGATTAGAGACTAAAACATATACATTGCAAAGTTCTCCTCTTGAAGAAAAGTATATGCAAAGCAGACAGCGTAAAGTGGGAAACGAGTTTTGGTGGTATTGATGCCCACAAAATTGGATTGTGTTAAGAGAAAGGCATAATACAATGTGGAAAAATGTCACGCCCAATTGCATTCTACTTAGGATTCTCTTGACCTTTTCACACTAACAAGAAATATGTTACTTCGGACCCAGGTCTCTTAAGTCATCATATACTAACAATTACTAATCATAACCTCAAGAATATTAGATAAATATATCACGTATTTCCCTGTTGAATTTTATCCGGTCTAACTTATCAAATATACTGTAAGTATTTTGCACACCATTTACCTTTAACTTTTTGAATGAGCCGTAGACAAGCTTGAAAATGATGCATAGACTATCTAATCTATAGATTCTAGCCTTGTTACCCTCAAAATCCCTATAAATTCATAGTATACACAGAATCTTCATTTTGTCTTCAACTTTCCTAAAGAAAATCAGATGAGAAAACCCAGAATTCTTGAATTCATGACAAGAAGATGGCTTTTTCTTTTCTTGATCGATATCATGTTATCCACGGCAAAATTTGAGGATCAAACTGGAGAAGCAGGTTTGTTATGCATCAGTGACTGTGAAACATGCCCTGTCATATGTGCACCACCACCCTCGCCAGTAAATTCAAAGCCGCTGCCATTGCCACCGCCTCAGCTGTCGCCACAGCCACCAGCCAACCACCACTCACCACCGCAGCCGTACTATTTTGGTTCACCACCTCCATCTTCACCTCCTCGTCCTCGTCCTTCTCGGCCCCCACCGCCAGCTTATATTTCGTGGGACAAGAGTCCTCCTCCACCATCTCCTCCTCCAAAAATCATATACATTCCAGGGAATCAGCCACCTAGTGTTGTTATGGGGCCAAAGAATTATCCTTATTACTATTTCTATGCTTCAAAAGCTGCTTCTATTCCTCATCAGGGATTCTTTTTGCTGTTTATTTCAAGTTTTGTTCTTCTTAGGTGACTAAAAGTTGTATTAATATCATGGAGAATATTAAAGGGCATTCTCGTGAGTATATGTTAAGATAAGATAGTGAAATCTTGTGTAGTATATTATGATCTTTACATTTCTTGTTTATCCCTTTGCATTTTGCCCAACTTCCTATCCTACATGGTTGTAGTTGGAATATTTCAATTATTTTTTGATGTATTTGGGGTATTCTTGGAGTTATATGTGGACTATAATAATGCGATACATATAGTAAATAAATTCTAGCAAACATGAAATATTTTATTGAGATAAAAATTGATGAAATGTGTGGATAAAAATTGTCTAATCCCGTAAAATGTATGGTTAAAATTAATTATTGAATTTAATTTAGATTTTTATCCATTTTTTTTAACTAAACCACAAAGAGGCTTAATAATGGTTGGATACACATACGATGTTAACTTTATTATGAATTGATAAATAGTGATGCGTACTACTAAATGTTTAGTGAAAGCTAATTAAAATTCATTCTTCATTCTTGACAAAGTAATATTCGACATTATTCGCTTTTCAAAGTATGTGAACAAGATGACATATTTATGTGCGTGGGATTTCAAATTACAAAAATTGATAACTTTGCTAACACTTCAAGGTTTCACTTTTACATATTAGTTATAACCGTCTTTACATTTGTAAAGTAATGTACATTGACCACTTATTTTGTACGTTAGATGGAAGTAAACAGGTCTCCCGAGGTATAATCCAGTGGTGCAAAGGACAGGAGTAAGGTTATCTCACGCCTTGTTGGCAGCCGCAGTGTGGGAGTTTGATTTCTGAGATATGGAATTGAACTCCTTGTAGGCGCAGTGTACAGACAACTCTTGTTCCCTGATTTGTTGGAGCACATCCCTCGATTTACCTCCCTCACAAAGTTTTAGGGATGGAGCGGTGGGGACCCTCAAAGTTAGGGTTCAACTTTTTTTTTTTTTTAGATTGAAGCAAACAGTCTTTCAAAAGAGTAAAGCTAATGTGATGGGGATTTTGGAAACAGGTGCTGGTGTCAGCACATGCTTCCTTTCTTTTTTTAACTGGCCAATCAGTGTTTGACATGTGTCCTCTTTTTTTTTCTATATTTTTTTAAACTTTATCCCCAGCCTTGTTTGTGTAGTTAAGTCCTCCTCAAAATAACCCTACTAGAATACTTGAAAAATTATAGCGTTTGAAAATTTTAATTTAAAATAGTTTAATTGTATCTTTCTCCCTTTTCCTTGTTCGCCTTCTTTCCGAAATAGCTCCATGAGCATTGGAGGCAAGGAGAACGTAGCCGCACCAAGGGAGAAAGGGGCTTGGACACAATTGGACATCAAATATCGAATCAAACAAAAAATAATACAAAAATATAATAATGATACTTTTTTGATGGACCCTCTAAAAAGAATAGTGTGACAGACTAAAGGTGTAGATGATTTAGCATCGAAGCTCGTTTTTTATTTAATTAAAAAATATATAATAATCTCATCAATCTAATAATTGACTTTGAATACAAATTGAATAGACAATGCTTCGAAAAGAAAAATAAAGGTCGGGATCAAATTATCATATTGGCGCATTTTTTTCTAGATCTACAATTCAATTTTACAATATGATCCTCAAATGTTTAAAAGATTTCAATTACGCCCATAAAATATGAAACATTATCTTCTAGACCCAACGTGAAAAGATCTAACAAATCCCGTGCAGCGGCTCTCTATAGCATAGCGGGAGTGCAGACATTTGAGTTCTCGAAATGCCTACAATGGAGTCATTGGAAGCTCTGGCGAACGATGAGATGGTGATGGCTGGGTTTCTACCACTCGCTTTCTCTTCTTTTCAGCCCTACGTTTCCGAACTCCTTTCATTGACTCTCGATCGCCTGCGCAAGGTGCCAAGGTTATTCAACTTACACAAACAAACACACTTATATATATAAATATATATTGTTCGTTTATGCAATGGATTTCCTTCTTTTTTTTTCCATCTTTTTTGGTTTGATTGTTGTAGGAGCCAGAGATATTGAGGGTAGATGCCGAGAGAATTCGGAGGCAGATGCAGGAGGTGGCTTTCGGAAATTATCGGGCGTTCATTGTAGCGGCCGATGCGTTGCTCGAGATCCGAGAGGAGGTTTCCTCCATCGATAAACACCTCGAATTCTGGTATATATATAATTTCAGTTTGCAATTTTGTCTATGATTTATACAATTGGAATTATGATTGTAATGTGAGATAATTCTTGATGTTGAGTTACGATAACTGGACTGTGTTGGTAATGTGATCGAAATAAATGGCAAGCTGTGTGTGAAGTTGTGGATTAAGATCCCGTGAAGGGGGTGGCTTTCTCCTCAGTAAAATGAAGTACTGCTTCTTGTTTTAATTTAACCCAATTTGGGAGGGGAAATGGTTATACTTGTTAAAATAATGCAATTTATGTGTTGATTCTGAGCAATAGTAATCATCTGTTGCTGTGATGTACGGGTTAAGGTAGGAACCTTACGAAGCTTAATGTGGTGAAGGGAAGTGTTGTGGAATATTTGATTTAGGGAGTTGAAATCGTTTTCTCAATCATTATTTCCCACATGCAGACTTTTAGTTTGGGGAAAATATTAAAAAACCAGTAATTTCTATACATTCACAGATGCAAATTCATATTGGTGTGCTTGTTAGCTTTAATTGTTGAGCAGTGTCGTATAACAAGGGAAACAGTCATCCAATGGGAAAATGTGAATTTATTGCTATTTTGATGTGAACACTGTGAGAAGTCCTCTGCATTTTTAATGCAGTTTACAGTTGTGTGAGCAAAATAAAGGCGGAAGCTTGGTAGGTTAACAACCATGCATTGCTTGCAATATTTTGATCAAACTTTATTCATTTGAACCTGGTGCCATGTCAAAAGTTCGACTGATGGACTTCAAGGTATATGGACCATGGATGGTGGCCTGCGATGTTATCGTCGAAATAGTGCAGCTAAGCATTTTGCTTTGATTTTCTTCAATGGACCGCCTCTATTTCTACCCTGTGAAGTAAATGGGAATATTGGAATTGGAAAAGGGCTGAATTTGTCTTAAATGTTTTCATGAATGGCATGAGGAAATGGTTGTTACCTTGAATATTTGTTGACCTTGTAGTTAATTAGATAGTGTTCCAAAGCTTTTCAAACCAGTGCCTTCAAGTATCAGCTAATCAAAATCATGGATTTTTTATGGTCTCTTCAATGCTCATGCGAAGATTAAAAGAAATGAAAAGAACATGCTGATTATATTTTCGATGCTTGTTTTGCAGATAGCTGAAATCCCAAAGCTAACTTCTGGTTGCACTGAGTTTCTTGAGTCAGCAGAACAAATTTTGGAGAAGAGCAAGATGAACCAAACCTTGCTTGCCAATAGTTTTACTTTGCTTGACATGCTTGAAATTCCTCAGCTTATGGACACATACACCTCAAAACTTATTTGTTTTCCTTATTATTTATCTTATATATTTAATGCTGTAGCAGTTTAATTTTATCTTTTCGTAGATGTGTACGGAATGGAAATTATGATGAAGCTCTTGATTTAGAAGCATTTGTTGTAAAACTTACAACAATGCACCCAAAGTGAGTACTGTCTCTAATTCTATTTACCAACATACATTAGGTTTATCTGTCAACGTATTTTTGAAGGCACTCTTCTATTTTCTTTTTTCCTTCAAAAAAAAGAATTCCTGTGATTCAGGCTCTTGCTGCTGAAGTTCGGCAGACCACCCAGTCTCTTCTTTCTCAGCTTCTCCAAATACTCAGATCAAACATCTAGGTACCTTGACATAACTCAACTGCTGTGTTAATTGTCAAGCATGTCGAAGTATCTAGGCTTGATTGCATTCATATTTGTGCTTGCAGTTGCCGGAATGTCATCGCATCATTGGATACTTCCGTCAGATTGGGATAGTTAGCGAGTTCGAAATGCTCCTACAGGTTGCTACATTGAAGACTTTATACATTTCCATTACTTGATTCTACTATTTCTTTTTACTTGTACATTCAGGCCTTACACGTATTCGTACATTGAGTTTCTGATCAAGCTCCTTTGCAGTGCTTGAGATGCCGTGAAGCATGGCTTACTGGAATAGATGACTTGGTCCAGAGAAATCCACACGAATATTTAAAAGAGATGATAAGTTGTCATAGAATGCATCTTTTTGATGTTGTTAACCAATAGCGAGCCATATTTGCGGATGATACATCAGGAAGTGAAGAAAATCATGATGCTAGGCTTCTCTTCAACTGGGCCTTGCATCAAATTACCTCTCACCTCAAAACGCTTAAAGTCATGCTTCCTAAGATAAGTGAAGGAGGATCTTGTCAAATACTTTAGATCAATGCATGGTGAGAACATTTCATCGTTGACTTCCACACCATCATGCTTATTAGTTTATTCACCAACCCCCCCCCAACCC